TTGTGCCCTAAAGGCACAAAAAAAAAGCCTTAAAAGGCATTATTTAGTCTTTTGCTGGTGCCAAACCAAATCATTTGGATATAATGAAATTGTCAGCATTCATTGTATTACTGTATTTGCAGTATCCTTAGTTAGAAGACATACAGGCATTCCCATTTGGCGCTGGATCATAATTACTATTAAGATTCAGGTCTGGTAATTTAGTCTACACGTTTAGCCCTAATTTGGGAGCTTTCTTTTCCTGAACACACACATACACACACACAAAAAGGTGTTAACACATAAATATTCCCTTCCAGCTAATTTATAATTTATACAAGAATAACAATCAAGTCATCCCAAACCAAAAGGAAGATATGAGAGATGGACGAACATCGCCAACCGCCACAGACTCCGTCAGCCTGGGCTGGGCAGGAGCAGGGAGCTGGCATGTTACACACTGGGTGAAGAAAAGCCTTAATACAGGATTCTACCGGGTGTAGTTATTATGGTTGAAAGGCTTCCAGTTGACAGATGATTTCCAGATTACTTCACATATTCCTTCACGCTAGAAGATGCAAAGGGTAAAAGTAGGGGCTGGGAGGTGTCACACAACCGCAGCTCATGCCAGTCTGTGGTAACGAGTCCCTCCCCTCCTCTTCTCTCCACATTTTTGGACGACTACAGCTTCACAAGCAAAGAGCCAGCAGCCACTTGCCATTCCTGCCCTGAGGCCTCCATTCCAAGAAAACACAGATTTATGTGGGGTTTTTTTAATGGTAATAATGATTCTCTGCCTTTCTTAACCTATCAAAAAAGTGTGACTTGAATAGCAAAATGTATTTTATAATAAAAAGGTTCAAAAGATATGGCTGAAATTTTCAAAGGATACACAGGAAAAAGAGAGAGAACTTTCAGTTCCTGTTGGACATAAGGGAAACTACTAAAACCAATTGATAATCACTATAGATCCTTTTCTCAAAGGGTTTTAATCTTGCCCACCTGTACTGTTTTAGTACCAGTATTGCATCAAGAAATAGAAGAGGTTTTGTTATTTTAAAATAGCTTGTGTTGCCATTTCTCTTCATTATTTTTATGTTACCCAACAGATGCCAAATATTTGTTGCAAGTCGTATCCAATTACATTCAACTTATTAAAGGGTCATCTGCTAGAAACTTCTATATCTCTTTCCTACTCTCCTGAGTCACTGAAAATATAGTTTCATCCCAAAGTAACTCTAAGTTCTCATTAAGAAAAATACATACACAAAACTATAAAACTACTGCCAACATAAGACAACATAAAGACAACATGAGGCAACAAACTTACAGAGAAACCAACTACAGAATTCAGAAAATTCTCCCTCAGCCAATAGGTGGAAGTTTTTTTCCCCAATACGTTTGAGGAGTACATTATTTACTCATCACAGGCAGATTAATTTCTTGGGTTTGGTAGTTATCAAAATTATATGGTTGAGCAAATGACGTAAGTTAAGTGACTGTAATTCATTCCAAACAACAAAAGTGGTATCTATAGGAAATACCTGTGGGTTCAGTACATACATAACAAAATATGAAGCCATGGAAACATGTTATTTAATTATGAATGAATTATTTGCATTTGCAGTAAAACATTTAAAGAAAAAAAAAATTCAAAACTAAGTAGCCGAGATGGGAAATTTGCAGCCAGAAAGACAGTATGGTAACACTCGGTGGCATCTGTCACCATATAGTCATTGTGATTTTCACAGTTAAAGACAAATTTTGAGCATGAATTCAGGAAAACTGAACTAATTGTACCCATCAGCCCATTAATTCAGCAGTAGGCTTTCATGTAAGTCCCTTCTTAGTTTACACGTCTTGGTTCGCAGCGCTTTACGAGCTCAAAAGGTTGCACTCAGGGAAGCTCTACATCAGCACGCAGAGCTGACATAGTGATGATTTCTTAAGTCATGGTTAAGTGACCACTTTAATTTGACATATGGCACATTGCTGTCAAAACCAGTGGCCCTGTCTGCTTGCTTCTATGCCTGAGCATTTATGCAGATGATTTTTTTTGGCAAGGTTAGGTTTTAGCTGGACCAGTTCCCCGAGCCAGCTCAATACACAGAACATGAAAGTTCACGGCACACAAAAATAGAACTACGAGACCACCACAGTAGTCTAGATTTATGCTAGATAAAGCAACTATGTGATAAAGAACTACATTAACGTTAAAACCCCATCCATCTTGCATGATTATATCAAAGAACTGAGACGATTTAGTCAGTTTATCTAAAACATCAAAGTTTTCAAAACATTTCTAACTACAGACAACATTGCTAGAATTTGATCTTTGGCTCTAAACGCTCCCCAAAATTTAGCCTGTATCCGAGTTCCCAGTTTTTAGAAAGAACAATGGCTAACTTAGTTTTTAAGTCATACAGAACCCTGACTAAAAAAGTAGTATACAAGCATTTTCCACCGTATGGTCATAACACATTTGTGCAGTTTTTCCTGGCTCACTCAAGCAGCAATATAAACAGTATTTCTTCATTTATGTCAGATAGAAGGAGTAGTATTCTCATGACACAGAAAGGTAAACGCTATTTCCTATCCCATATATTTACAAAAACCCATATATTAAAAATAATAAGAATAATGAGAAAAATAAGAAAAATGAGGCATGAATGTCAGTGATATGGTGGCTGACGTACACCTGAGAATATTGATTACAACAGTCCAAGAATTCTTAAGCAGCAATAAAGGACGAGAACTCAGTAAGCGTGACTCAAACACCGAGGAAAAAAAATAAAGAAAGGAAGAGGTTGCAATTCACTTAAACTGCTTTCTTTTGAACTTTAAAGTTTTTCTGACATAAACAATTATTTTTCCTCACTGACTTAACTGTCCTCTTTCTTATATACAGTGCGACAAAGCAATCCAGCCGTTTTGTAACAAGCATTTAACATCGTTAGAAACTAGTTTTTCACAGTCTCCACGATGCACTTACGGATACCCAGGATGCTGCTTTATTCCAAAACTAATAAAGGTACTAGTGGATCTATTTATTCTAGAAGATAAGTTATTGCTAGAGGCACAGTATAAATCACGTGACTAGATAAGTTAAATGGACCTATTTTATTCTTCCCCAGGAAGAATTATGTACAGGTAGGAACATGTCACTAAACTCTCTGCTTATCCGCACCACTCTTCTAGCACTCCAGTAAGTCCAAGGGAGAAAACATAAAATATGAACCGAACAAAGCCCCAACACTCAGCCTGGCAGCCAGCCCCGAAGCGACATCTGGGAGCAGTTGGTCACCAGCCGCAGGGGTCGACGTCCCACTGGGCAGCTCAGCCCAGTGCTTGGTTGAAATCAGGTCTCACTTTTCCAAACCACATGCGTACGAGAACAAAAGTGCCTGCATCCGCACCCCCAAGTGCCCAGCCACGAATGCAAGAAAATACAATTACGGCAAAGGAACATCCGCAGGGGGTGCTCTTCAGTAGTTTCCATGAGCCCATATAGCAAAAAGACTTGGATACCAAAATTAAAGCACTTTGATGGGAAAAGATTTCTTTGTTGTGCTATGGAACTAATGCGATGATGATGGAAAATTGTGAGAATTGGGAACAGATGACAAAATCACAAGGTTTTCTGAGCAGAGTACATGATCCAGAAAGTCTGTGGCAAGTCACCTCAGACAGTTTCTCCCATGCTACAATCTGAGTTTATGCATCTCTTACTTCCCAAGTCACATAATTCAGACATTCAACTTTGCCCATAACATAGAATTAACAGAAGTAACAAAATTAATCTAGAACTAGTTTGGAGCAAGATTTTAAAAAGCCACTTCCTCCCTTTTAGATTTGCATTTAGGTCCTTACAATCAATAGCCTGAATAACACCCTTTTATATAATGCAGCTCATTCATTACATCTCACCCACACTTCTTAAATGCTGTTTAATATTTCTGGCTGTGAATATTCCATTACTTCATGCAAAAATAGGGAGGGGTTCAGTCATTTTATGCCTTTTAATGCTGCACACTGCAGTATTTTTAAATCCTTCACAAGTTGAGTAAAATAATGCAGTACCACTGTATGAAAGCAAGTGATTTATATAAAACTGCATGTTGTCTCTATAAACAATGTGTAACTGTTACAGAAGTGGATGGAAAATAACAAAATTTCAGCAGATTCCAAATGGCACAGAAACAGATGAATTCTACATGAATTATGCTGAAGTAGTACAATACATGTGGAACCACTTTCAGGTTCCAAAGTTTAAAAAAAGCGCATCCCTGCATGCAGAACAGTATTATACATCAACAAACTACTATATGAGAAATCAAACTTTCATTAATACCTAGATGCAACATGAATTTTCAGCATGGCAGGAACTGAGCTTTAAAGCTATCTTAATTAATTTGCAAATATGTCATTCACAAATTCAGTGCAGAATGGTAAAATGGGACTAAACTTTGTCTTAGGCAAATGGCCAGGAGAGAAGAATGCAAAAAGGTCAGAAAACACTTCAGTTGGTCTTTCCACAGAAAGATTCTTCATAAAATTAGTTTCTTTGTTAGGACCTCCAAACTGGATGGCAAATCTACAACTCAGGTCTACAGTTCCAGCGCATCAAGAACTCTCCTGTGGCAGAGGCTGTCTGTGTGCTCAACGGCAGAAAAGCTGAGCTACCTCAACTTGTCAAATTCCCTACTAAAGAAATAAACCTTCTTCTGTAGTTTCTTACCTGCTTCACACAGGCAGAAAGCAGCATCACTGCTTAAAGAAATGTTCCTGGTACCTGCTCAGGATCAGACCCTGCTTTTTTGCTGGCACTCTTCACTGAGTGGACCACCCAAGGGTACTTCCTCAAGGCTTCATTCCTGGGCACGTTACTGGTGCTTGTATGTTGATGCAGCAAAATCCTCAAGTTACTGCGCAAGGACTGGGGTGCAGAGAGTCAGCCAGGCAACTGCGTGAGCCACAGCTCTGCGGCAGGACCAGGCTATTTCCAACCTGGAGCAGTTTACCTGGTTTGTGGAACAGCACCATAGTGTTCACCAAGGAAGGCTCAGCATCTTCACGACAGAGATCAGGCCGAAAATTTCCCATTTCAGGTTTTGTCCCATTTCCCCAGTCGTCTGCTACTCCTTTAACACTGTATACCTCTAAAGCCAAAGACTGTGCTTTGAAATATTGTTAAATTGTAGGGA